AAATTGAGTAGAAGATTGTATGAACGCGTGAGATCATATATATTCTCTTGGTTGTCAATTCAATACCTTAATAATCTGTTTTTGCTTTGTTGGAGTCTGACTAGCTTATGTTAAACCAAAACCTGATAAAAACCTAAGCTCAATTTGTATGACAAGTCTGAATTTTTTAGTACATTGAAAAGGAAACAGAAAATGAGCATTGCATTGCGGGGACCAATATCTATTTTTCTGTGTTTGGTCCTTACACGAGTATCTATTTTTCTGTGTTTGGTCCTTACACGAGTATTTGTATGAAAAGTCAGAATTTTTTAGTACTTTGAAAAGAAAACAGAAACTGAGCATTGCTTCTTACACGAGTATCTTTCTTTTTTCCAAATTTGTTTTTTTACTGAGATTTTGTTTATCACTTTTGTTTGCTTAGACTAATTTATCAGGTTTAAAGTTCAGTATTCTAGCTTTATTTGTTGTTTGAATCTTGTTGTTATTGTGTTATTGTTTAAGTTTTTTTGTTTACTTAAACTTTCAGTTATTCACTTTATTGAATAACCTTTTACTCATTCTATTATTATTTTTTTGCAAGTGTTGCTGAGTGAAATAATGGGACTTTGAAGCTTATCATTTGCTCTTATCACATGACAGGTTAGTACCATCTTCTTGATTGATTACAATGTTTCTTGATTTTAGTACATTACTCTTGATGTTTTGTTGGGTATGCTAGTATATATGAAGACATGTTAGTACCATGTTTCTTATTTCTAGTATATGAGTTTGATTGATTACCATGTTTCTTGTTTTCAGTTTCATTTTTTTAAATATGCTACTATAACCAAACACGTGAAACTTGATATACTCATTCTCTAATTCTGTTTTGCAATTGTTGCTGTGTGAAGTAATGAGAATTTGCAGCTTATCTTTGGTAATATTTATTTCACTTTTTAATTGGTTTTAAATATGGGGATTTGTGTTTTACATATGCTTTGATCTGGTCTGAGATTGAGTTATATAAATCTAAACTAGTTTTTATATAACTTAAGGCTTAAATTACAGTTACATTATATAATGGTGGACAAAGATTGGGTGCACCTTTGCTTGTAAGATTTTTTATTTTATATGCTAGTTTTATTAGGGAAATTTGAGAGTTTCTATTTTTTTTTCCCTTTAACTCTTCATCTTCAATGAAGAGTTGATCCTGCTTATGAGAGAGGGGCTACAAATTTTGTACGGGCTGTGGCTGCGGCGATGGGAGACGTTGATATGATTGTATGTCCTTGCATTGATTGTCGTAATATAGATCATCATACAGACAGTGTTGTAGTTGATCATCTTGTAACAAGGGGAATGGGCGAGGCTTACAAGATGCGGTCTAATTGGTATCATCATGGAGAACTGAATCCAGTGGCTGGAGGTGAAAGCAATAAAAGTCAGTGGAATAATGAGATTATTGGGTTATATCAAGCTGCTGAATTTTTGGATGAAGAGTTTGCTTCGAAAGTTGACTTGTGTGAGATTGCAGAGGGTTTGGGCAAAGAAGAAGATGAGTTCCTAGCAAAGCTTGCAGATGCTGAAACACCACTATATCCAAGTTGTTTTAACCATAGCAAGATATCTGCTATTGTATCATTATTCAGACTTAAGACCAAGAATGGATGGTCTGACAAAAGCTTCAATGATCTCTTAGAGACACTGCCGGAGATGCTACCAGCTGATAATGTGCTGCACACATCACTGTACGAGGTGAAGAAATTTTTGAAATCCTTTGATATGGGGTACCAGAAGATTCGTGCATGTGTCAATGATTGCTGCCTATTCAGAAAGAAGTACAAGAAGCTAGAGAACTGTCCTAAATGCAAGGCATCAAGATGGAAGACTAATATGCACACTGGTGAATTAAAGAAAGGAGTCCCACAGAAAATATTAAGGTATTTTCCGATGATTCCACGGCTGAAGAGAATGTATAGGTCAGAGGAAATGGCTAAGAATTTAAGATGGCATTCCAAAAACAAGAGCAACGATGGAAAACTCCGTCATCCTGTGGATTCAGTCACATGGGACCAGATGAATCACAACTACCCTTCATTCGCAGCTGAAGAAAGGAACCTGAGGCTTGGACTCTCAACAGATGGATTTAATCCATTCAACATGAAGAATACAAAGTATTCTTGTTGGCCTGTTTTATCTCTTTAATCCCTCATTTTTTTTGTGTATCATATATGATCTGTTTCATAAATGTTTTAACTCTTTCTTCTTTCCTTTTTTTTAGGTGAGTTAAAATGGTACGTCCAAAGAAAAAGAGAGGAAGAATCTCTAAGAAGATTGAGGAGGTAGAATATGTGGTTACCCGTGAACCAGAACCAGTAGAACCAGAATCTCAAGTACAAGATGAGACAAAGCATTTGATAGAAATAGAAGCACAAGTACAAGATGTTACAGAGAATTTGGAAGAACCAGTCGCTGGAGTACAAGTTGGGCCTGAGCATTTGGTAGAAACAGAGCTGAATGAAGAAGTTCCTGATAAAGAACTTAATGAAGAGCTTAATGAAGACGAGCCTGAATTAGATTGGAATGCTGAAGAGCCTGAAGGTGAGATACAGTTTGATGGAGACCATGAGCTTGCTGGTAGAAAGAGTAAGAGACAGCGAGGACCAACACGCATGAAAGACATGCCAAGGATCCAAATACCAGAGTACAAGTAGAGTTCACTGCCATGGTAGAACCTTATGGTGAAGGGTCAGTTAAAATGTCATCATACGTAGGCGCATTGGTAAGGGAACACGTTCCCATCACGTTTGTTCGTTGGACTAAAATAACTGAAGATATTAGGATAGTTCTCTAGAAATTAGTCCAGGTACTATATTAGCTTAATCATATATTGATCTTCAGATATTGCAATTCCATTTACTGTTTTTTTTTTTAAATGAGTGCAGGCAAGGTTTAAGTTAGATGAAGAATACCAGAAGACTGCACTGCTTAAACAGATGGGATGTCTGTGGAGGTCATCGAAATCACGTCTTGTTACCAAGATTAGAGAAGCCAAGACTAACCAACATAGGATGAAACTGCGACCTAAGAATGTTTCTCCATTTGAATGGCGTAAATTTGTCAAGCTCAAAAGTAGCAAAGAATTCAAGGTATTCATTTGTAATTAGCTAAGTTTATTTCAGATATAGTAGATAACATATACAATTACTCTGTTAGGTTGTCAGTGATAGCTATAAGGAAACAAGGCGCAATTAGATTCCTCACACCACTAGCCGCAAAGGAATGGTTAGACTAACAGAAGAAATGGTAATCATACTACAGTTATGTTGTTTTAACTCATCAGTCTACTTTAATTTCAAAGACTTATTCAATCTAACCTTTTTTTTTTGGCTGGTTTAGAAAAAAGACAGTCCAAATCTAGGTGAAGTTTCAAGGCTTAAAGTCTGGGTCAAGTCACGTACCAAAAAAGATGGTACACTAGTTAATACAAATGCGGCTGAAAAGATTTTGAGTTATACAATTTTGCTACTAAGATTTGCATGTTAGGAATAAAATAACACTTGTGGTTTTCTCTGTTTTAGTTTTCCTTTGACATAAATACTCACTGTTAAATCTGTATCTTGTGATTTGCAGAGAAAGGCAGCTGAGTTTGTAAATAGTGATGGTCCATCATCTGCAACATTTGAAGCAGAAGATTCACTTACCCAACTATTAGGACCTGATAATCCTGGTCGATTGAGGGTAATGGGTAGAAACATGACTAAGACCAAATTAGCTTGTTTCCAAGTGAAGAACAAAAGTATGGCTTAAATGCAAGAGAAATAAGCTAATCTCCAGCTTAAAGTGAATGAGTTACAAGATGTAATTGCAAAAAAAGAAGAACTAGGTTACACACTTCCCTATTTCTACATTTAGATGCTCCATTATTACACAATATTTGACTTTGGTTTTTGTGTTTTTAATAGAGACAAGATCCTGAAGTTGGCGAAAACTCAGCTGTAGCTAGAGTACGATATTTATATCAGATGTGTTATTTCTTTGTTTCTATATACTCTATTATTTATTTTATTAATCTTTCTATAGAGTGTGAACAAGAGATCAGAACCAATGTGTGTATCTTGACTAACTGGACTGGTGGTGATGGAAATGTTGCTGAGGGGCGTACTATTACCTCTGATCCGGATGACTTAGTGAATGATTGTCACTTACACTTGGTTCCAATAATTGTGTATTTTACAAACAGTTTTCCTATTTAAACTTCATGTCTTTTTAACTCTATATAAATATATTTTTCAAAAAAAAATGGTGTAAATTTATTACTATTTTTTTTTTTGATATTTTCATAGAAAGTTACAATTTTTGCTATTTAGCATTCATGTATAAACTTTGTTATCTATATCATTATTATTTGTTTCCTAAATAATTACCTATTTTGGTTATTTGTTAAATTTTTCCGAAATTGTCTCTTTTTAACATAATACAATTTAAATATTACGTCTTTTTATCGTAATATTTTGATAAATATATTTATATAGTTATATTTATAATATTTTAGAAAATTAAAAAATTGCATCTACTCATTATAACTTTTTGTTTAATATTTTTTTATTTATGATCGCATCTTTTCACCAGAATATTTTTTAATGATAATATAAATCTTAAAAACTATTTTCGAGGTTTTACATCTCTTTATCATATAATTCATTATGATATTTCGTTTGATATTTTAAAAAATAAATAAAATTTGAAAATTTTCCCACAGGGACATCGCATGGGGTTTAATTCATAGTAAAGCATAGTAACAACAACAAGAAAAGAACAATGATAGTATCTACTACAAATTAATAAAAGAAGAAAAAAGAAAAACTCAAAAAAGCCATAATTTATTTCTTTCTCGACATGTGACGATGACTGTTAAATGTTAAGAAGATATAAATCATTTTCATTAAATGATAACTAATACATTTTTGGGTTTTTCGATGAACAGAATTATTGAAAGACATATTTAGTGGCAAAACAAATTACAGAGATTGCCAATATTCTTTATTTGAAAATAGATTAATATTTAAGTGTTGAACTAAGAAAATAGAGAATGTTTTCATAGTGTAAAAGCTTTTCGCATGCAGTCTAAAGAGCAAATGTATAGATCTGAGAGTGAGAGACCAAGCATCTTCAAGGCGATAGGGTACATGCAATGCGACTCGCAAACAATGCAAAATGGACGAGATATACTATTATTGAGCACCACCTCGAATGATCCGCTGCGAGACTTTATTGTGCTTCTTGGCATGAACCCTGCAAAGTTTCCCAGCACGCACTCTTTATGCAAACTAGCTCGGTGATCTTTACACGTGTAGAACCATTTACTTGGATTCGTTTCTTTCTCACAAATGTCACACCAGTATTTGCCACTTGCCTTTTCGCCATAGCATAATGAGAGAGGATGATCGTCTACTCTATGCTTTACCACTTGTGGTAACGTGGCACAATGGAAGCATAAGACGAATTCACAACCACTTTCAATGCACGTAAGCACACGAGATGCCGAGTTGTTGCAGCCACTGCATGTTTTGTTTCCTACTCGTGGAATGTAATATAAGGGATGATGGGGATGGCTTGGATGAACAAAAGGCTCTGAAACAGAACCGCACAGAACATCTGACTCTGTATACCCACACTTGTACCTGAAACCATTAGATATTCTATGACAAGCGTCACACCGATAATGGTTGCCCCCGCTTGCAACTAAAGCAAGTCGGTCATTGTGTAACACATGCCACTTCTTTCTAGGATAATTAGCACAACTTTGGTGAAGCATGAAATCACAATCGATACAGCCATAGAAGGATTGAAGACAAATGGGATGGCTACAAGCGCTGCAATGCTTGTTTTCCTCCCAAAAAAGACCGTTAACGTGAAATCTCAGGAAATGCTCTTTGTGGCTGAAATGTTGTATTGTGTTGTCGTCAATTACCATATATGGCTCAATATCTTCTGTCTCTTCAGGTATTCCTTCGAGCTCCTTCCCGTTCCATACATCCTTTCTAGTAGCACATTTTGAATGAACGACATAGCGTGGACACTTCTGACAAGAATACCCGCCCCAAGTCCAATCCACCTTCTGGCGACAAACTCCACACACAGAATTGACAACACCAAGAACAGAAGTGCGAGAAACACGGTGATCATGCCGATTAATGTTTATGAGACGTGGAAGGGTAAGACACTCCTGATGTATCATGAAATCACATTGAACACATATGTAAGGGCTTCGATCTCCACTCAACCCACAAGCATTACATGTAAAAGAATCAAGTCTTGGGCGAAAGATGAGTTGGTGAGCATGAACTTTCAGATCCAGAACAGATTGTGGTGGTGGGTTTAAAACACAACGCAAATCCAAGCTAAAGTTACAAGCAGAACAATGATAAAAGAATCTATCATCAATCTTTCTTGAGCAAAGACGACATATTCCATCAGAATAGTCTGGTGGTTGACCTGTGTGGAGCTTAAGAGGGTGTAAGGGGTGGTAAGTGTGGTTTACCTCTGATGGGTGTTTTGCCTCCGGCGGATTCCATATGCAATCCACATGGAAGGCTAAATCACATTCACGACATTGGTATGACAACCCATACCTAACCTCCCCACATTTTGCTTCACATTCGAACTCGATCTCCTCTTTGAGAAGGGTGAGCTTGTGGTGATGCGTCTCGGAAATATCAATAACCTCTGGTGGTGGGTACTTGGCACAGTATATATCCACGTTCAAGTCACAGATCTCACAACGATAATATAGATCGGTGATATTGCTGCCACATAAATCGCAGTAAGCAACATCGCTCTTACGTTGAAGCTGAAGAGTGTGAACGGGGTGAATTGGGTGTTGGATATATTCAGAGGAGTCGCCACATTTCTTGTGAACAAAGAAATCACAGATTTTGCAGTAATAGCCTTCACTGATTGCTTCCAAGCGCTCACAACAATCACCTTTCCGCAGATCATTCCAAGGCATCATAACATGCTCGTGGATCAACGGTAGTGACACTCCCTCAGATTCCATGGTCGTCTCCAACAAGATAGAGCAGAAAAGGAAGAAGAAGATGAAGAAAAGTTGAATCTGAGATCTCAAAGCTATGCTCCTTCTCTCTCTAATTAAAAGTCAATGTATACTCTCAAAGATGCTCTTGGTGTAACAATTATATTAAATTTTTATGGTTTAAGAGTTAAATAATTAAACTAAGGACAGATCAGAAATTAACTAAAACTATCATGAGGAAAACAATTTTAAAAGTCACTAGAGCCGATGATATAAATACAAAGAGACAGGACCCATAAAAAATTAATATTAGTACATGGAAGAACGTTCCATTGACAATTTTTTTATAGGCATCTACAAGTATGCTGACCTGCCAATTTCTATAAAGATAAAAGAATCCCAAGTTGACAAATAAAAAAAAGGAAAGAAAAAAAAATCCCTCAAGCAATCACTCCGATGATCCCTTGTCCTCATTACACGGAGACCAGTAACTGGTGTAATTTGCTCCTACTGACAAGTAGATTTAACATTCACTATTGTTGTAACATGTTAACTATGTACCAGCTTTTACATTAGCTAATTACGTGTCTGTGTTGGTTAAGTTTTGAATTTTGCATTCGTTCCCTCATGTCGAATCACTTTTGTTGGTGTCAATCAGTATCCATTCCACGTTCAAATTTAGATACCACTGTTACAGTTGGTCTAACAGCTTAAGCAAGTATGAGCTTTTGCATTAGCTTATTATTACCTCTTACTAATCAAGTGCTTCTGGTCTTAACTCTTTTTTCATTTTGTGTATGATTGACCAGTGGCGGAGCTAGAATCTTATTTTATGGGGGTCAAAATTTTTTTTTTAATATAAAGAAAATACATTAAATATTTGATATTTTTTTATTTGTGTTTTTTGTAAACAATTAAATAATATTAGGTAAATATTTATTTTATTTAAGATAAAGTATGAGTCTAAAATATTAGGTAAATTTTTTTGGTTAACCATTTAATTAATCCGGTATCTAAACAATGGCACCTACCTATTTTGCAAGAATTTATGGACCCGGAAGATATACAAATCATTAGGGGTCTCCCTACAAGTCAAATGTATAAGCCGGATAAGCTTATTTGGCATCATACAAACTCAGGAAGGTATACGGTAAAGTCAGGTTATCGGCTTGCCCAATCTATGACAGAAACGATTGAGTGGGGTCCAAGTTGTAAATTGCTACAAGCACAAGCATGGAAAATCAAAGCTCCTCCAAAAATAAAACATTTTTTATGGCAAATAGTTTCGGGATCCTTGGCAGTTACGTCTAAACTAGCTCATCGTGGGATTCGGTGCGATATTATCTGTCAACGGTGTGAGATGGCCGAGGAAACAATTAATCATGCGCTCTTTGAGTGCCCACATTCTCGAAAGATATGGGAGTTATCCGAGATTCCCTTAGTAACAGGGTGTTTTCCTCTAACTTCGGAATATTCAAATCTAGATTACCTCTATTGGAGGTTACCACCTCCTCTGGAAGGGAGGGAGAAAAATTACTGTTACGCCTGGATTTTATGGTTTATATGGAAAGATAGGAACAAAAAGGTTTTCAAGGGCTGTCAATCTGAACCCATAGATATCTTAAACCACGCTCTAAGTGAAAAATTAATGTGGGAAGAAGCTCAATTGGAGCCGATTGAATCTTCAGCTATTAGGGAAGCTCTGAATGATCCAATACAAAATATTAGATGTCGGACTGATGGCTCATGGAAATGTTCGGATCCAACTATGGGTCTTGGTTGGTGGTGTTTTCAAGGAAATGATCATACCATACTATTGGGTGCTAAGTGTCTTCGCAGGTGTCCCTCCCCCCTTCACGCGGAGTTGGAAGCATTAATTTGGGCTATGGAAACTATCATTTCAAGAAGGATTGATTGTCAAGCGTTTGAAACAGATTGTTCAGAGTTAGTCTCGATGGTTAAGTCCCCTGAAGAATGGCCTGCTTTCTCCAATTTGCTAGATGATTTTGGTTTGCTCCGTGCTTCTTTTCCCTTTTTCTCGCTTTCTTATATTTCTCGTTTATGTAATTCTAAGGCGGATTGTTTAGCTCGATCTTCTAGACTTCTACTCTCGGAAGCTACTTTTGTAAACTCTTCTCCTCCTGATTGGGCAACCAATCATGAAGTTACTTTTTAATTAATGTGTGGTTGACAAAAAAAAAAAAAAAAAAATTTTATTGGAAGACTAAATTTCAAGTATTTGAACTATTTTCTGTTTTATGTTCTAACATTAATTTTGAATTGGGGTCAAAAAAAATTTTAGGTTGGGGTCATTTCAATTATTACTAATAACATATAATAGAGTTTTAAAAAATTATGGGGGTCAGTTGAGCCCCCTACCAAAGCATTGCCTCCGCCCCTGTGATTGATGCAACTGCTTCTTCTTCTTAAATGGTAACAATTTACCTCTCTTGCCATCAACTAATCACAATTTTGCTACTCGAGCTTTTGTCATTGTCATAATCTCTCTGTTTTCCTCGTCCTCGTACTCGTCATCATCATTGTCATCAGAAATAACTATAACCTCAATGTCAGTTCTAGAACAAACATTATGTTTCTCGGGAACAAATACTATGATGTAAGCAAATTAGAACAATTGAGATTACTCATCTTTCATTTTCTTTTGCCCACTTCACCTTTGTTACCCTCTCCACAAACACCAACATTGCTTTGGTCAATTCCTTGGGATTCAAGGTCTTCGTCGGGGGAAATAGCGAAATCGTAAGAGGTTCATAAACTTCTCCAACTCGTCCAATAAAACAGGTCCGAGTTTCGGCATTCAAATCATGCCATAATAATCAAATATCTTGTTCCGAAGCCGTGTCTCTACGGGGGGTGAGCACGTCACAAATAGCTCTGTCTTTCTCAAACTCATCATGTCACTTGTCTTTTAGACAAGAAATGATAGTTTTCTGATAAAACTTATATGCAGAGGTTTTATATTGAACTAGGATCGGATCCGGACGTACGTTCAGGTTATATTAATAGAAAATTTTATAAGTTGAAAAATTCATATTTTTAGGTTATGTGACTATGTACAGTAGAACCTCTATAAATTAATACTCGATAAATTAATAAACACGATAAATTAATAAATTTGGCTGGTCCCGAGTCGGGCCAATGTAAAAATTAACCAAATTCGATAAGATAATAAGATAATAATTTTTTTGAAATCTCAGTCCCAATAATATCATAAATTAATAATCATGTAATTTTCACATATATATATAATAGTTTTAGTGTTTTTCATAAAAATAGCCAAAACATCTTGTAAGTTTTTAAATTTTGAATATGCATAATTTTTTTTTAATAGTCGTATATGTTTTTAAAATACAACAATGGATGTCTTTGTGAATTTTAATTTATGTATATCGTTTGTATATGTGAATTCTATAATCGTTGTTATTCATTGTCAAAATAAATTATTTTTTTCGAAATATTAAGTGTTTAAGGCTAAAACTATAAAATTTATAACATCCAAAACATTAATCTTAGTTAGATCACATTGCTTTAGCTCGTATTTTTTTAAAAAAGTTTTTACAATTGAAACAAAACTTTCTATAAATTAATAAATATTAATTTACGCTATAAATTAATAATTATTAATTTATAGATAAATTAATATCACTATAAATTAATAAAATATCATGGTCCCAACATTATTAATTTATAGAGGTTTTACTGTAATTCTGATTATATTTTAGAGATAATATAATTGAAAAATATGGTACGGTAAACTAAGGTAACATATATCTAAAAGATGTATGTGTGTACTGTATGTATTAAAAGATAGTTGAACTTTGAAGGGTAAAAATAAAAAAAGGTAAGATGTATTATATGTAATCTATACTATATAAAAGTCGAGGTTATAATCTTCTGAGGCAGTCCACCTGGGATTTAAAACACCCAATCGCGATTTGCCACTTCAATAATTAACATATTTTGATTCCGATAATTTTTTTTAAAACAATTTAGTAAAAAGGAAAAAAAAAATAACAGAAATATTTGAAAATATGGAAATATTTCTAATTATTATCTTGTGTTATTTAAAACATAATATAAATAATCAAAATGTAATGTTTTTAATTTTTATAGATTATTAAATCTATAAACAAAATATCTAAAAATATGAAACAATTATAAAAATAAATTTTGTTATCAAATACATAAAATAAAATAATAAAAAAATGTAAATATTTTTTGACATTAGTTAACATTTTTGAAATAACATTAATTAATATTTTAAGATTTTAATATTTTATATATTAAGATATTTATGAGTAAAGAAAAAAATTATATATATATAAAGAATAGAAATATAAACTTTTGAAAAACAACATACAGAAATAAGAAAAGCAATCTATAGGAGAAAAAAAATTAAATTTTTGAAATACATTATATGGGATACATTAAACTTATATTCTTATTATGTTAACAAAAAACATATTCGATTAACTTAGGATTATATAAATAGTAACCGGAGGTATCAGATTCATCATAATTTTTAAAACTATAAATTTCAAACCGTTAGTAGAATTAGGGTTGGTAACTCCTTTTAATGGCGCCTCTTATTATTTTTTCATCGCTTTTGCCACTGTGGGCACTTTTCTCTCTTTGTCACGTTGTTTGTGTTTTATATCTTCGATGAGCCGTAAAACATGTGTTTGTGTATGATGTTATATATGATTTGATGTTGTTTGTGTAAAAGTTTTGGGTCTGAAAAAGAAGGATCGATGACAAGCATCATTGGTCGATGTTTGTGTTCTTTCATATCGGTTGTGAATCATAAGACCTTGATTTGATTGTTTGAGTTAAATTTTTGGTTTAAAGAAGAAGGATCAATGACAAGCACACATGTCTTGTTAGCTATACATGTGGCCATGTTCATGTTGCTTTCTGCACAAGTAATTTGCAATTTTGTAGCATTAAGGATTTTTGTTTGAAAATTTTCAAAACATGTGGATCTTAAATCGAGTATACGTGTGAAATTATCAATAATTGAGAACATGTAGTGGCTATGCTGGTTGAATAGCAGAAATTTTATGAGAAAATAGGCAATGATTCTGGTCTTGGAGGTTGCAAGAGGTTCCTTGGAAAACAAGTTGTGTTACTCTAAAACAAATTATTTTGATTGGTTATTTAATGGTTCTAACGAATTCAGCATCAATTGCTTGTGCCCAAGAAGTGCCATGAGCTAATAAATCTAATGAAGTGGTGGTGGTGGTGGAAGTTTAGGAACATACATGTAAGGTCATGCAAGGTGATAATTGTTGTCGTTAAAATGTAAGTGGATGCAACTATGGCTAATGAGGTAACTTCTTGCATAATTCTGTTTTTTTTTATAACTTAGGTTGTTTATACTTTAGTTGGATGATATCTAACCAGACAAGGTATAAAGACTTTTGTTAAAATTATGGAAAAAGTTGCTCTTTTTGGAGTACAAATTTTAATCAAAACGAGAATTAACGAGACTTAAAAAAAAGTAATAGATTTAATTGATGAGAGTTTCCTTGCAATATAAACAATTGACGTCATAATATAGGTAACAAAGAGGGTTATTTTACACGTAAAAGTGAAGGGGAAAGAGAGAAACACGGATAGATATAGACAAACCAGAGAGCGATAGATAGATAGATAGAGAGAAACCCATTGTCGTGAGAAGATGCCTGATTGTGATACCATAAGAAAAAAATGGATTATCATATATGGAAAAGAAAAGTGAGAAAACAGTTATAACATGACCACTTTATGGTAACGTTGAGTTCATATTTAGCTGAAACTTGATAGCGAGGTT